AGGTGGCCCCAGCACTGAGCCTGTGGAACACCACTGGTGACTGGCTGCCGGCTGGATTTAACTCCATTGATCACCACCCTCTGGGCCTGGCCATCCAGCCAGTGTTTTACCCAGCAGAGTGTACACCGATCCAAGCCATGAGCAGCCCATTTCTCTACTAGAATTCCGTGGGAAACAGTGTCAAAGGCTTTACGGAGGTCGAGGTAAACAATATCCACAGTCTTTCCCTCATCCATCCCGCCCCCCACCCAGTCTTCCAGCTCAAGGGGCTGGGTGTCTAGGGAACAACTAGGTCTACTGCTAAAGACTGAGGCAAAGAAGGCATTGAGCACCTCAGCCTTTTCCTCATCCTTTGTCACTGTCTCTCCCCCTCTATCTAGTAAAGGAGGAAGATTCTCCCTAGCCCTCCTTTTGTTGTTGATGTATTTATAGAAACATTTTTTGTTGCCCTTAACAGCTGTAGCTAGTTTAAGTTCTAATTGGGCTTTGGTTCTCCTAATTTTCTCCCTGCATAGCCTCACTACTTCTTTATAGTCCTCACAAGAGACCTGCCCCCTCTTCCAAAGGTCATAAATTCTCCTTTTGTTCCTGAGGTCATGCCAAAGGTCCCTATTCAGCCAGGCTGGTCTTCTTCCCCACCAACTCATTTTTCAGCACATAGGGACAGCCTGCTCCTGTGCCTTTAAGACTTCCTTTCTGAAGTATGTCTAGCTTTCCTGGACACCTTTACCCTTCAGGGCTGCCTCCCAAGGGACTTTGTTAATCAGTCTCCTGAACAGGCCAAAGTCTGCCCTCTGGAAGTCCAAGATGGCAGTTTTACTGATCCCTCTTCTTTCTTCACCAAGGATTGAAAACTCTTCATTTTGTGATCCCTATGCCCTAGACAGCCTCCAACCTTTATTTCCACCACAAGATCTTTTCTGTTCACAAGGACCAGGTCCAGGAGGGCACCTTCCCTGGTTGGCTCCCTTACTAATTGTGTCAGGGACTATATTAATAGGAGTATATTCTCTCTGAGACAACTGCTTGGAAAAGTGCTGTGTGTTATCACATTTCCGTGTTTCACTTTCAAACTTGGGAGATAATAATAGGCTTTGAAAGAGGTATCTGTGAGAACTACCTTAATTTCATAAACATGTTAAATGTATCTAAAATTGGTTGACGTCTGTTTAGATAAGTTTCGAGATAATAGATATGGAGGGAACATTATGATTTATCAGGGTGGAATGCTTTGGAATCCCTAAAAGGGGTGCATTATTCAGTTCTTTAAACAGATATGAAGTGCATCTAATGGGTGAGTTTGACCAATGAGTAAATACTAATTTTCTGTGTTACGTGACTTTGAATTTTCAAGGCCCAGGTCTGAACCAGCAGAGTGAAGTGAATTGAGTCCTAAGGAGATGGGGATGTAGATCTATGTTTTAAACTTTGGTATGGTCTTATCATTGTAAACCACCATTACTGCAGTTTCATTGAGTTAGCATGTGTTGTGGTAACTCTTTGAGTGCAGACAATATAATCATTTACATACAAATGGATAAATGCACCTTTAGACCATATCGCTAACTTTGTATCGTTGGACTGTTAAATAGCTTGGCAAGTGCCATGTTCCCTGCATGCAAAATGGAAACTATTTTCCATATCAAGGTTTGTATTTTTAAAGAGCTTTTGAAACTTTGGAATGGGGAAGTTATCAAATGCGTGCTGGTGTAATGCAATCCCTATTGAGAGTATTTGTTTTGATGTTTCTAATTGATCTGTTGGGCGAACTTTGTCATGTGTTCTTAGTACTACGTGGCAAGACTTCTGTCCACAGGAAAGTGTGCTTGTGCCAAAAGTGAGATAGTGTCATACAGCACTGCGCACAGACACACAAGAAAGATGTTTTTGTCTGGGTGAGCCATGGCAGGCATTCGGTTTAACCCTTGATTCATCTGGTCTGGATTAAATTAATACAGCAGGTTCTTCCTTTTTTTTTTTCTCTCACCATTATCGTTGCATTTGCAATAGCTGATTTTTGCCTATGTAGATACCTCTGTCCATGACTGCTGTATCTTGGAGAAAAAAAAAAAGGCTTTTGTCCAAGAAAAAATAGTGGAGCAATGTGTGCATCTCATTGTACTTTTTGTCCTTTAAGCATAGGTGAGGGAGTAACTTGAACAAAACTATGCACCTCTTTAACAAGTGAATCAAGACTACATTGTGGTAGGATCAGGCAGCTGGGAGTCTTGACAGACTTAAGCAAACTTGTGGAGGTTTTTTTGTTCGTTTGTTTCTTTTAAACGTGTACAGTGAGTATTAACAACTTTTCTCAGTCCTTTACCTTTAGTATACATGACTGCATGAGTTTAACTACATTTTGTTATGAGGGTGTTAACAGCTTCATTTGGAGCCATTAATAGTTTCCAGCCTAAGACTTAGGTGTAACTTTCAACTGTTACTCTTAGATAAGGTTTTTGCAACACATTTATATAACTTACAGACTTCAAAAAAAGTCTGTTATACTAAAAGTACAGTTTTCTTTATATCTTCTGTGGGTGCTTTTGTGACTTTGCGGTTCACATTACTGTAGTATGTAGGACATCATAGAATAATTTAGGTTGGAAAAGACCTTTAAGGTCATTGAGTCAAACCGTTAACTGCTGCCAAGTCCACCACTAAACCATGTCCCTAAGTGCCACATTTCTATATCTTTTAAATACCTCCAGGCATGGTGACTCAATACACTTCCTGAGTGAAACAGAGCAAGTAATACCATCATCGGTTTTGGTAGATGGGGAAATGGGGCATCAAGAAGCATTTGGAAGCATCATCCAGGCAGTTTGTGCTGAAATACAGACAGGAATTGAGGTCTTTCCCAGGTTATACACCCTGTTTGTATCTCTTGTTATACCAGTAGTCCCTAGTAATTATATCCTGACTTACTGTTTGTGGAAGTTCAGTATTGAAGTCTGTGGTGCTAAAAGGCTGCTAGACATTTCTAATACATTTAAGCTTTGAATGGTTCTCTAGAAACATTTGTGATGATTCTTGGTTTCTTACTTCTCCACGCGTAATAAAATTTGGAGTCTGTAGTTCTTCCTGGGAAACAAATTCTGTACTTGGCATCTCTGTTTTGTGTTTTCATGGGTTTCCTATTTTATGTTCAGAAAATAAATATGTAGTAGAAATGCAAATGACCAGTAAAATTAATTTTGCATGTGGATGCTTACGATTGGCCCTGCGTACTTGTTATTCTTGATTTATCACTGTGCCTTTCAAGCAGACTTGCAGCAGTTAATACAGCTAGAGTTCCTTCCAGTAGAACAAACTGGGAGTATTTTTTTTTCCCTTGTTACGAGTTAATGTGGAATTCCTCACTTGACCATGCTAGGTATGACAGTAAAGATGTTCTAGTACTGTATTGCCAAAGATGGAGTTGTCTTAATTTGTGAAGAGATTAAACGGGTATTTATGAACCATCTTTGAGCAGACACGGCTTCTACTTGACAGAGGTGAAACTATTTCAATTAGCTATTTTAATGCTCAGTTTCACATCATGGCACAAATGCTTCTTTGAATCTCGGTACAAGTATATGTATATTCCTTCTCATGTGTACACTTTCCTGAGGGTATATCTCATTTCTGGATAATTGTTTCTTTTTTTTTCCCCTCCCTAAGATATAATTGACCCAGCTATCCTGCGTCCTGGTAGACTGGATAAAACACTCTATGTGGGTTTGCCACCACCTGAAGACCGACTTGCTATTTTAAAGACCATCACCAAAGTGAGTATTTGGAAATAAATCCTTATCTCAAAGCTTCGTGGAATGATTAAAGACAAATTAAATTTTACAGAGAATTGCAGGACCCTGTCTTATGAAACACTTTCAGATATTACATGAGATCATAAAAATAAACCATCAGCCACATCTGCTGTTAGATTTGCTATGAGACTGCAAGGAGTTGATAAATCTTGCGTAAAGCAAACCTGTTAAACATAGAAGCTGCTGCCTTTGTAGTCACAGTTTGAACAGATTTAATTAAAAGATTCCTATCTGTGTGAGTAATGGGCCTAGAAGTGTTTTGTAAGCTTGGGGGGGGGGGGGGGTCCACACATTCACCAAAATGACTCACAAGCTCTGTCTGTATTTGCTTGACAGTAATCGTGACATTTAATTGCCTTTAGGATTAAAGGAAGCTTGTGATGACAGGGGTCAGTCAAAGTAAATGTGAAAATGTAAAATACCTGCCTTCATGAGTCCTCCCTGTGGTTAATGGCACATTTTGCCACTTCACAGATTTAGATTATAGAATTCTGTTTGAGTGTTTCTCCAAGTACAGTACAGCAGTAATCAAGGCCTTAAAAAAACATACAAAGTATTATGAATCACTCAGATATTTTCTACTTTTTCCATTAGATCAACGTTGACTGTTAAGAGCAAGTGTTCTATATAGATATTTTTTTTTGAGCTGCAAAGACCAAGTCTGCACTATAGAGAAAAGATAGCACTGTATTATGAAAAGTGTGATAAAAATTATTTAGCAAACTTGTAAAGAAGATAATTCAGACTTACGTAAGCATAAAGTTGTGGTGTAGGCAATAGTTAATCCCATAGGAGAATTCAGAAAGCAAGAACTCATTGAAGCATGTTCTTTCATGCCAAGATGATTGCTCAGAAGTCAGACTCTCATTACAAATTCAGGATGTTAGACTTCCCTTCATTTGTTCTATCCATTACTTCATGGAGGAAAAGAGTAAGTATGCCCCCATTCGCTATTAGCAGTAGATCAGTTTATTGTTTCTAAGTTTTATAAAAATATTTCAGTTAAAACTTTTTACAATCCTGTTCTTGAAGATGGTTGTCTTTTAAAAGACCTAGAGAGAATTTGAGTGTAGTATCCATGAATCGTTTTTCAAACATACTGTAAGGAAGTATGGTTTTTATTTTACCAATTTATTTTTAAAGCTAACTCCAAGTGTTCTTTAAAAATTTGGCTTATATAATTGTTTTAATACAAACAGCCTTGTTCTTCTGGAAGAAATGGGTAGTCAGGGTCAGTCACTAGACTATCTAAACAGAGCAGAAGGATTCTGGTACAGAGTTTACAGTTTGCTCTGTTTTTTAACATGGGTGTTGAGCTTTGCTCTCCCTTGGTTTTGGTGGAGGATCTTGGGAGATTTGTAACTGTCTCAAGTGCTCTCTCACCGTAATTAGTGGTGTAGGAAAATAGTGCAGCAAAGCTTGGTGCAAGACTTCATGGGAGGGGAAGGTGGTTTTAAACTAAACCGCTTTCTCTCACTCTCAGATTTCACTTGCTCGCACTCTCACAGCCACATGTAGTCGCCAAGATGCATGCATCCAAGTGGTAAGGCCAGGATCGCTTGCGTGCAACACCAAGGATGAGGAACTTTGTGTTGAGGCCTCACTTCATCTCTTGGCTTCCTCTTAACTGGCAGTGACAAACTGGTTGTTAGCAAGAACTTTTTTCTAGATTCCCTTTAAGAATCAAACAGTTGAGAATCGTGCTTACTTCAGCTGCCATAAATCTTGGGTGAGGTTGCTAAAAAGTGTCTTTGCTCCCTCCTTCTGGCATTCTTTGTCTATTTTCCTGTTGGGATAACACCGAGAGGAATGGCACATGGGATGTGGTAACCTTGTCATTGTCCTGTTATCAGAGGATATTTGTCTTCTGCTGACAAACCATCTTTGCTGTGGCCTTATCTGATTATGGGCCTTCTTGTGATATGAGCATCGCATTGCAATGGTGTTTACCAGCTTGGTTCCTGTAGATCCCGTTTTAGTTACCAGTGCATGTTATTTTGGAATGCCAGATACTTCCATGCATACTTAATTCATACTAGTCTTAATATTTTCGTTACAAATCTTTGTAGTGAATGAGGTGTTAAGTCTCTAACGGATTTTTTTTCCTCAGCTCTTAATTAAGAGGCCAGCAGAAAGGAGATATAAACACTCTCTGAATGAGTCTTTTCCTTGTGTGTTTCCATGTTCATTCTATGAAGAGGCCAGTACTGTTCTCACTTCATTACTTCTGCAGTCACCAGAGTTCTTGTAAAGCTAGGCAAAGATTCATTTTTCTAGTGTTAAGAAAAAGAAATAGATTGTTACTTTCTTTAAAAATGTATAGGAGTTATCTGCATAAAGAACATGGAATATGGAGAGAGGAAAATATGTTAAATTAATTGAGATAACTTGTTTTTCTGTCAGACTTCATCCATACATTCTAGGTAAGGAAATTTGAAAAATCTGTGTACAGGAACACTTGCTTAAATATGTGCTCAGGGCTAGCTAAAACAAACAGATGTGAGTGGCTTCTGGGTGATGGTATGCATTCCCAGAAATCCCTGAGGAATACATGCACAGGATGTGGAAACTGAGAATCATTGCTGAGGGAAAACATGGGTGCTTACAAAGGCAGCATGAGGAGCAGAAAAGGGAATTAGAGGGAGGGATAGGTTGTAAGGAAGACAGACAGCCTAAACGTAGGTTGAAGCTTTGCTATGAAATAGTTTTATTTCAGTTAACTTGTACAAATCAGTCATTTTCAAATTGCATATTAATTATGCAAGAGAAGCATGTCTCCACGTGTTTCAGTTACTAGTGTACTTACATTCCTGCAAGCTGTATCAAGCTTCTCTGGTGCACGTACTGCTGAGCTTCTCTCCAGAGTAGGCAGATCATCCCACTCAAAAAATGCCCAACGTATGTTGCTACTCAGAGCAGTAGGTAAAACATTTCTTTTTAGCAGAGAAGGTGTCTCTGGCTTGCAGTCTCGTTACTAAAGTATCCTGTATGAAATTGAACGAGGCTTCCTTGTTTCCAGGTTAGAGTCTCTCCTTTCAAGATGCTTCAAAATCAGGCTGTTCCTTTATCTTTTTGTTGTCATCCCTGTCCCCCGCCTTCTAACTTTTATTCTACCAAAGGTTCATTCAAGATTGCTCCCTTACTCTGTCTAGTCCTTGATTATTCTACTGTCTGTTAAGTATTCAAGGGGGTTAACTTTTTTTTTTTTTTTCTCATGAAGGAATTGAGGGTATGTGGTATATTAGTTCACCTGAAGAAGTCAGAAAAGAATTATATGAATTTGTGCATTTCTGTCAAATGAGTTTCTGGCAGAAATATATCAATTGTATCAAAAAGTGTCCTTTCATGTCTAGAGGTGTTTGATACTCTAGACAACTAGAATCTCTGTACTCCGCGGTACTACTTTCCTCTTGTCTAAAGGTAATAGGGAGATCTCCATGCTTACAATGTTCGAAAATTTTGTTGGCTAGTTTCAAATTTAATTTATAATGTTGTTCAGTATTTTTTGCTGTTGGAGATGCAAAAATAATAACAAAAGAAACCACTTCTGAGATCTTTGTGGAGGAAGCAGTAATAATATGGAAAAGTTGTGTTGAAAAGTCTACGGGAATGTCTACAGTATGTGTAAACGTTTATGAAATCCAGAATGGAAAAAAGTTTGAAAATGTATGTCTAGAACATAAAAGATACAGAATTAATTCAGTCTTAAATGTAATGAGATAAGGCTAAATCTACATGCTTATTGCTTAGCTATTTGAACTTCCTCTGGCCATCATTTTTGTAGAGAAAACCTAATCTGTTTGTGGGAAGTTAAAATTTAGCATTACCTACCATTGTGTAATTCCTTTTTTGTTTGTTTGTTTGGTTTTTTTTAAGGCTGGTTGTCCTTCCTTTTGGTTTGAGATTAAAAATGTTAATATTTGGATATTTCAGAGAATTTGTCAGATCTTGATGAAAATTAATCACTTCAGGGATAGCATGTGTTTAAAAAAAAAAAAAGTTTTCTTATCTTCAAAGATTATAAGAAAATTTATTTATAATTTATAATTCCTCTTTTTATTATGTCAAATCCTTTAGGATGGTACCCGGCCTCCACTAGATATTGATGTAAGCCTTGAAGAAATTGCTTACAGTCAACATTGTGATTGTTATACGTGAGTAGCTTCTAGTTTGGACTTTAATATTTAATGTGCAGTGCCAACAGTCTTCTGATGCAGGATAATGTGTGTTATGTTGTTATTATTAAGAGGAGCTCTTCACTTTCAGGGTTTATAAGCCTTGTCTCCCTTATGCTATTTTTCTTGCCTTTACTTGTGCTTTTTTCCAAGGAATTGGTAGGAATATAGGGATGCTAAAGGCTTTTTTATCTGGAGTAGTGCTCTTCATGTTGTAAATACAGATCAGTAGAGGCCTCTTGGTTTTGCTTGGGTATATTTTATAATTCTTGCATAATCTGAGGATAAAAGAGCCTTCTTTAAGTTGTGGACCCATACACAGTGATGACAAAAGCAAATTGGTTACCAACAACCATAACCAACTTGTCCTGTCATGCAGTTGAAAGCAACATATTTGACGAAGTAATAAGGGCCTATTTCAGCTTGTGCTTTGGAAACACCAAGGTGTGTTTTTTAGGAAGCTTGATAGTTGTATCTGTCAGAATAATTTGCAATTGCATTCTACAAAACTTAAAAAAGCTTTAATCTATTAAGTGAGTTATTAATAGTTAATGATTTTCTGGAGTTCACAAAAGATAAATTTTATGACATGCTGTTGTCACAATATTGCTTTTGAATCTTAGAAATGGAGGCTATCACCAGAAAATGGTATTTAGTTTGTTGTTGTTTCATACTTGGGAAAGATGAGTACTTTTTCTTTCTCTGGCCCTTTTGACCACTTCTTTTTTTTTTTTTGGTGTGGTTTTCATGAGGTTTGTTTTTTTTGGTTTGGTTTGGGTTTTTTTTGTCTCATTGGTTTTGTTTTGTTTTTTGTTTTCCCTTTTTTTAATGTTTGGGTTTGCTTGTATTTTGGGGTTTGGGTTTTGGGTGGGGTGGTTTTTTGTGGGTTTGGATTTTTTTTGTTTGATTGGCTTTTTGTTTCATTTTTTAAATGCAGCAGTATTCCCACACCCCCAAATGAAGCATGAGGAGTTCATTTGAAAATTTTCTGTGGTTCAGTGACTTGCACCGGTTTGAAGGCTTGTGAAAAGTTCAACAGCTGGAAACTGAAAACAAATATTTAGCAAGACTGATCTGACCATGTTTTGTGGATACTGTTATTTTAAGAGCATGTAAACTTTTGATGCAGCTTTGAGAAAGGCAACTCCCTTTTGTAATAATGGGTGGTTTCATTTGAATCTTTCATAAGACTGGTACAAAAAAACGTATCATGTTCTCACCAAGTGGCACCATGTTAATGACTCCTGGCATTTTTAAGGATGCTGGGTGGGGGTTTTGCCTTTTCCCTTGCTTTTAATTTATTTGATCTTAATTTGTGTCTAAAATATGGAGGACATCACTCCATAATGAAGGTTGCAGCAGTGGGTAGTCCTCAGACCTCTTTCCGATGTTCTTAAGATGAACCTTTATGACAGCACAACCAGTCTCTTACCATCATTTGTAGCGTCTTGCCTTTCTATATGCATCAGCAAAAGACGAGAAATTTATCCTAAAATAACCTATTCTGTTTGTATCTGTAGAGGAGCAGACCTTTCCGCTCTAGTGCGTGAGGCTTCAATTTGTGCCTTGAGACAGGAAATGACCCTGCAGAATATTCAAAGCAAGAAAGGTAAGAAAGCTTTACAAAATTCTGAACAGTGAAAAGTTAAATGGAATATATTTAAGGTAGTTCAAGACAAGCATAAAGGCATGCATGCTGTACATAAACGATTGATGACTTCTGAGCCAATCAAAAGTCAGATTTGTTCAAGAACACATAAGAATCTTTGAAGTAGATGTAGGGGACAGTACAGGAAGAATGGTTATGCTGAAGGTTCAGCATAATTTTTTTTTTCTAAAAGAATTGAACTTTGTAACCTTAAAGAGCAGTTTATGTTAAATAGTAGTATAAAGTGACAATTTATATACTAGACTGAATATATCTTTGCCAATTTTCCACATCACTATCAAAGCCTAATTATACTGACTTGTTTGCAGATTTGAGGACAGTTGTTACTGCATACCTAAGTATGCACGCATACTGATCACATACCTTTGGCACACAATTGTATTGTGTGACTAAACACATGCATCTAGTAGCAATGGCACTAGGAAAATGAGTGCTATTTTTGATCTTAAGTGTTTAGCTCAACAGTGGCTCTTGCCAGGACTTTAACAGGGAGTTAAGAATTGTTTGAAGTACGATCCTTTCCATATCTCTCTGCACTTTTGTTTTAAGTTGTATTTTCCTGGTTTTTAGATTATTATTTTTCTCTGCAGATAGGAAAATGTAACTGGAAATTGAAACTCTTCTACATAAAATGTGTGTAAATCTAGATTCTTTCCAGTAACCTTTTTTGTTATTTTACCCTTGAGTCAAAATTCAAAGCTAAGATGGGTTGTGACTTTTCAGATCATGTCCTTGGAAAATATATTGGGCTTTCATTAGGCCTCTGAGTTCTAAGAACCATGCTGAAATTTTAAATGGCTTTGAATCATTCTTTTTGATCTTGTACATAGCTAGTTTCATCTGGTTAACAGAGCAGAACGTTTATATTTCTTTTTTGAGGGAACTATCATGTTCAGGGGGGTGGGGGAGAAACCAACTATAAAAACCTTCACAATTATATGACTGACTGACCCATTTTGCTGGCTGAATGGAAAAAGCTCTTGATTTGAGATCGAAATTTCAAAATTTATTCTGTTTGCTTTTATCATTATCCAGAATACAGCAGGCTTTATTCAAAGATCTCTATTACTTGACTTCAGCCTTCACGTTTAGGGTGGCAGCCTGAGCACTTATTGTGTGGACGTGTGGGCAGCCAGCAAGTCCATAGTATATGCATAGCTCAATCTGCATGTTTATAGCAGCTGCTTGTTTGGGATGTCCTTGAGTTTAGATTTCCAAGATGTCAGCCCTGGCTGGTATGGAAGTGTGTAGGGTGGTTTCCAAGTTGAGAGCTTGTTCATTTATATCTTCAGAAGGGTAGTGTGCGTACACAGACTGGAGAACTTCTTCCTTCAGTGTTACCGCAAGACGTGCACAACTGACTCCCCTCCCATGGTCTGTACGTGACTGTAGATGGGTGCTGTGTGTCCTCATCAGTCACTAGTTTGGAATCAGCTGGCTGAGATCAGCACTGCTCCTTTCTATTCTGTAGAAACTCTGTTGCAACTTCCTCGTTATACGTGGTATTTTCCCTCTGGAATTAATTCAGGGGTGTGGTTTTTTTAACACTCAACAGTGATTTGCTTGAAGGGACTTTTTATATTGAAAGGGAAATGTGGCCTGCATGGTCTGTAAAGCTGATCTTAAGCTAACAGTCTATGAAACTTCTTGTTACAGCAGTTACGAACAAGTGTGGCTTAACAAGTGAGATTAATTAAAGTTTTGTATCTTTGCGGTTGAATTTGAAAAGTAAGATCTGGTCCTTGCTTGATACTTTAAAATTAAGAGGAAAGAGAACCAGCTAACCAGCTTCATTTTATTATTTTTATGGAGTTTTGATGACTCAAAGTAATTAGGTTTCTGTGAAAGACTGAAGTTGAACTTTTTTCCTTACTGTAAGTGTTTCCTTGGGGAAATAAGCTAAAATGCTGGTATTTTAAATTTACATCTTAATTTATACCAGTATAACTTCATATGGTAATGGGAATCTTGAATAAGAGCTTCAGAGAACTGAGATGAGAAAGCAGCAAGGTTGTAAGTTTAGTTCAGTGAACTTTAACCTTCGTCATCTTAACTTTTAAAGCAAGTAATAATTGTAGACTATTTGCTGTTCTGTTTTATACCTTAAAGTTCTCATCTTTAATTTAGTGCCTTCCCTCTGCTATGTGGGCTTTTGCTGTATCAGCAGAAGATTTTTATTAAACATGAACATCAAAAATATTGAAGAATCTTAACAGTTTTTTCATGTCAGCACATTACATTTCACATTACAAAGATGTAAGCAAAGGTAGTGGCAGTACATATCTGTGGAAGCAAAAAGTGTCTTAATGAAATACATAAAAAAAATACACTGAATCTAAGGACATACTTTTTGTACCTCTATCCTATCTGATACCTGTGCATAATGTTAGCGTGGTAATGAATCTGTATAGTAGTGGTATCTTGGGATTCTTAAGTCTAGATTAAATAAGGCCCTTCTGAAAGCAAAGGAATCCATGATTTATTTGAGGTATGCTTACATGCTAAAAAAACCTGTTCAAAAGGTTATTAGGAACAATTACAATAGGCAATTTGCATAAACTTAAACACAGGGAGTTGGAAAAGTGAAAGCTTTCATCACTTCTGGGTAATGCCAGGCGAGGCAATGATGTAAAGTCAATTATTTAGGAATTGAGCATCCTGTAGTAGAATTGGAGTGATAACAAAATGTTTTCTAGGTACTTTATTTAATAACACTCTGTAGGGAAGCTTAATATTAAATATATAGCAAGAAAAGCTCAGAACTGGAAGCAGCAGGATTTGAGGCATTTACTTCTAGAAGAGTTAAGGGACTTGAATTCCTAACTGCATTTGATGTAAGCTGCAGTTAACTTGGCATCTTTGAGAATGTAATTCTCAGTCTGCGGGTGGAAACACTAATACCTAAAATAACTTTCTTAAGAAAATATTCTTTGGCTTAAGGTGCAGAGGGTAGAGGGGTTAAGATCTTGCATAAGATCATGCACAGGAGGTTACATAAAATTTAAGAGTTCAGGTGTTCATAACACTGCTGAATTAGATCTCATCTAGCACATGCAGTTTAGTTAGGTTTCATGAAGGCTGCCTTGAAATACATGCAATACTCACTTGATTGTCACTTGCCTGCAGGTTTAGTAATTTATTATGCTTTGTTCTTTAAGGAGAAATCAAGATTTCCCATAAACACTTTGAGGAAGCTTTTAGGAAAGTGAAATCTTCAGTATCAAAAAAGGTAAGATAAGCTTCAAGTATGTAAGGCTCATTACTCCCCTGGAAAGGACACTCTCTTTATGCTGGAGACCAGTGGGAATAGCTCACAGGTGCAGTATACATGGGTGTATTTCAAACTGACATGACCTGTTTCTGCATTAAACAAACCTGATGTTTTTTACAAGGTTAGCAATTGAGGTCTCCCTTTCCAGCTGCAGAGGATGCATTGCATCTAGATGGATGTTATGCTAGTCGAGGTTATCTTTTAGTATGGCACCTTGGACTTCTCGTTGACATTCCCAGATTAGTTATTTACCTGGCCCTAACCTTTTCCTGTCTTGTCTGTGTCATGACTCTTCCTGTCTGTGGAATTTTCAGTTAAAAGTCAAGGCCTTTAGAGTGCACCACACCTTGACACCACCTTTTTTCCCCCCCAGATGGATGTGACACCCAAATATGCTCAACCATTTCTGTTAATGTGCAAGAGACATACTTTCTCATCTTCATTATTTCTTATCGATCTTTTCTTTATTTGCATTTGTCAAGGAAGTTTGTTTTAAAGGTTTCCTTATGACCTGTTCTTTTTAATGACTGAAAGGAAAACTGTTCAACCATCTTAATTACTATAATCGAGAAGTTAATACATACAGGAATTACTACTGCTGCGGAGCTTTTGTGTATAGGTCTCTATGTTGCCAGGAGTGTTTGCAGGCAAAATACATCAATACATTCACTTTGAACACTAGCCAGAGAGAAGTTAACTAGTTAACTATTTCTTTATTATTATTGTATGTTGATGGTCAGTGACCTCTTCTAAAACTTAAGTGATCTTTGGCTCCAAGACCCTTCAAATGTGTCATTGGCTGTTGTTTTCTTCCCCTTTGCTAGTCTCTAAGCAAACAGTTCACAAGCAACAGCCACAAAAACTTAAAACATCTGCTCTAACATAGCAATCACTGGTAAGTATTAGGACATACTCCTGCTGGTTCTTAAGAGTTAACCAGAAATGTCATTCTGCATCTCAAAGGCAGCTTAAATATCATGTCTCAGAGCCATACATTTCAGTTATGGCCACTTGAAGAATTTTCAGTTATGTATCTTGAAATACCTTTTGGAGTACAAAATACTCATCTCCCATTTCTAGATGCTATTTCCTATCTGCTAGACAAATTCAACACCCTATGCACCTTCCCATGAATACTGGCAAATAAAAAAAGGTGAATCTCACTGATTTAGGGCTTGTAACTCTTCTTTTCCTTCCCATACACATATCTGAATTCAGGTAACAAAGTAAGTTGTTCTTTAAAGCCATGGACAGACATCACCTTCTGAAGCCAGTTACTTCAATGGAAGTTGCTCAAAACTGTCATTTTGAGTGACTGGTGAAAAGGATTAAGGAACAGTTAAGTAAGTTAGATTAGCAGATGATCTTGTCTGTTGATTTTGACAGAACTAGATGGGGGGAGTCAAGTGTGAAGTGCCCTGGTAAAGAGGGCAGTATCGTTTTATGAAGCTGCAATCTGAACCTAGCATGGCAATATTAAGTGTAAGAACTCTGCCAAAGGCTTCTGTTAATTACATATCATTGGTGACTGTCACTGGAGAACCTCATTTATGAGCCAGGGTAGTGGGGTTTTGCCTTATTTAGGTTTTTGTTTGTAAATGTTTTAAAATATAGCTAGTGGCTCATATAGCTGGTTTGTTTCACTTTGTAAAACAATACATATAAAGTCACTTTTAAATACTGCATGATTTTTTATCATTGCCTGAAGTATTTCTTCCCTCTTATCTTGGCACTGTTAGGATCAAATGATGTACGAAGAACTGCATCAGTCACTGTGCAGGTGATACATTTGGACAATTCCCAAGAGACTCACATTGGTGGAGAGTTTTGTAACGCCCATGACCGATTTCAAGAGACAGGTTGGAAAGAAGCTGTACTAAATCTCTCACTTTTTAAACTGCACCTGAAAAAAAGTCATCATAACCTACTGCTCTAAACATCCTTAATTTAACTATTTCCAGAATAAAAGATACAATACACACATTCTGCTTATCACCATTTACATTTTTAAAATGAATGGTTTTAGTGCTAAAGAGCTAATACCATCCTGAGAGATTTGGTGCCCTTAATCAGAAATCCCTCAGAGCCAGCAAGGCTAACCCTTCAAAGTGTTTGCACTGCTCAGATAACTGTTTTCAACCATAAATGAAAACAGCTGTGTCTATACATACACATATACAAGGACTCTGGAAGAATCACTGGGAGAAGAGAGCTGGGAAAGTACACTGGGAAACTGCTGCACTGTATGCTATCATACCATTAATCACACCTTTCCCAAATACAGTGACACATTGTGGTTGTGCCAGAACAGGTTCTCAGAGCTTCCAACAGCTTCCCTTCACCTTATCAAAAGAAACTATCCACAGATGGCAAGCTGTCTTAAGTTTATCTTACGGTAACAGTAAAGTTTCAAAATCTGACAAGCACTGTCATTGTTTTAACAGGCACTTAAGAAACATTTGAAACAATGAGTTATCTAACAAGCTGTTTGGTTTTTTTTGAAACAGACAAATCTGTAACAAAAAATTCTATTACAAATTTGAATTTCCTTGAATTTCAGTTTTGATGTCCTCTGGAGGAAGGAAAATGTTACTGTTTTAAGAAACAGGCCAAAAGGCTCAAACTTTTTTTTTTAAATACAAGAAATTCCATTTTGGAAAGAGGACCACAACTTTCAGCATCAGCAAACTCCAAAGTATCTGGGAGTTAAGACAAAACACTGATATGTGACAGATACTGAGCAACTAATTTCTGAAACCTACGAGCCTTTGTGGATTTTTTACCACTGTCATCTGCTGTGGACTTCTTTAATTATTAATCTCAGTTCCTGCCTTTGATCAGTCTTATTCTTCCTAAAAGCACTACAACCATCAGTGAAGGATCAGAAAAGGAAATGGATGATTTCCACTAGCAAATTTCATAGAAAGTCTTTTGATAATACCAAACCTCATGTAATTTTTAAAGTAATGACATTTCCATGTTAAAAAAAAAAAACAAAAATAGTTTTTGTAAGCAACAATTCTTCTGTAACTTATCTGTAAGCATTAAGAGAGAGATCATTTAATCTCCTACTCAAATCACAATTCATTTAAACAAATTGCCATGCTTTGCTGGAGGTGACCCTGACCAACCTGATGTAACTTTAAGCCTGACCTTGCCTTGAGGGAACAGTGCCTTATGCATTAGATTCTTCTCTGAATTGTCATCTGGCAAAAAGGTCTTGCACATTTTTCCCAAAGGTAAATGTGGAAGGCTATTCATGTAACTAATCCCCCCCGACTTGTGTTTTAAAAATACTGACCCTCGTGGCAGCCTGTACTTACCACTCTGATTTTTGCCCAACACATTCTGATATTCCTTGCCTGTCCTAGGGAAGCCTGAGACTCAGTGACTCTGGTTGTGGCCCATAGGACTAACAACTGAAGTCCCTGCATATAAAGCAGAAGATGATGTGTCTGCTTGTAATTGTAAAGCAGTCTTGGAGTCTCAGGATTTACTGTGATTTCCAGAAATCCAAGATGAAGGATCATCATTTTCTCTCAGATTAGTTTCACTTGTGGCTGTTCATTACTGTGAGGCAATGTAAATAGTGACTAAATTTAATGTAAAATCATACCTATGTGATATGTACAGAGCTACACAAGAACTACCTATGTTACATCAACATTTTCCTGGTTTAGCTCTCAATCTAGAACTTTACAGGTTTTTTACCACCTTTTGCTTTATGGGAAGCTATAACTGTGAAAATAAGCTGTGACCTTTTAGTGCAATAATACACTCAATTTGCTTCAGTGTTTTGAGGGTTGACCAATGAAAACAGTATCACACAGGAGCCCCATGAAAACAGTATATGATACCTCAAATAACCATTTTGAAACTCACCCATTCTACCTTTACATACGTAATTCTGAAGGACATCTCTGTTTTTACCTGCCTATGGCATGCACTGGTTTCAAAACAAACTGTACATAAAAACTCAAATCAGGAATTAAAAAAGGTCTAACTGTGATACAACTTCAGTGACACAATTTAGCAATATTTGTCATCCTTCCTTGGAAAAAAAGATGTGGCAAGCCAGCCCCTCTCTACAGTTGAAACTAACCACATGAATGATTTCTCCTTTATGATATATAGAGGAAAATCCTGCTACCCTACTCAAGGATAGCTGCAGCTGATGAGCTTATGAAGGAGGAAAGTCCTCAAGCCCTGGCATATTCACCTAAGAATTTTCTCCTCCTTTCCTCTTGTGACTGTAGTGGGGTGCAGGAAGGTTTGACTTTACAAGGAAATCTGAAGTTTAAGTTGAAAGGCAGAAAAAGCCAGATCAGTCACATGTCCATACCCTGTTTGCTCACCTTGTCTGGGCTACATGTGTGTTGAGCAGACAAGGGTCAGCAACTGAACACTATTCAACTGTTCACACAAGAAAGTGCTACACCCACACAGCTACTTCTTGTGGGAAATTCTGCTCAGGCCACAGTACTTAACACTGAAAAAAAAAAAAACCTTGATAAGAAATAAAATACAAGTTCCTTTGTACTTGTAGGCAGAAAGTGGGAGGTGCTTTAACAAGCCTTTCCATGTAGTGCAGAGACCACAGCTATACATGCAGCTACCACCCCTCCTAGCAGACATGCCTAGAGGTTTTCCCTCTAGTCACCTTGTTTCTGTCATGACAAGATCATGAAATTGTTTATTCCTTTTTCCTGAGGTTAGCCACATATCTAAATCACAAAAATGATTCTGTTCCAGAACATAATAGATGCTAACTTCAGCATGGATAGAGGGCAGAGGCAGCACAGGGAGCTCTCAGCAGTGTCTTCATTCTTGGTTCAATAGGAAACTTCCAACATTTTTGTCCTCCCTGCAGTCTTGTATGCCACTGCAGGCTTGATTGTGAAATAGAGGATTTGATAGAGAAGAGGTAATTGTGTATGTAGCATGCAGGTTGCTATATTAAAGGCATATCTACTGATTTAGACACACTTGTTTGTCAGATTGTTTTCCTAGGACCTTGCAGAAGCAATCTTGTCAGACCCAGAAGTGGCTCCTGTGCTTTGCAATGTGCAAGCTAGAACAGCAGAACTTGCTTCGCCTTAAGTCTTTTGAGACTTTCAAACTACAGCGGAGTATACTTGCCAAAAGCTGTGTCTTAGACAACTTACCATGCAAGATTGCTACCCAAAAGTTACTTTTCTCCAATTTGTCCGACAGGATTAACATGGCAGCCTGCAGTCTACAGCATTGATGTTACTGGTTGTTGAACCTCATCATTAAATAGGGAATTAACAGCTTGTAGTTCTACTGTGGCATGCCCCTTCAGCTGATGCAAGAATAAATGCCAAGGAGGCAGAGGTGAACACTGAGCTCATTATCTAAGTGTCCACTTACCCATTTCTCAACATTCATAGACTTTCAGTAGGTGTTACATGCTTGCTGGCTACATCTAAACAGTTAACCACAGAAATTCTGAGACACAGAACCAGAAGTCTTAACTACTTTTCAGCTGACCTCTGGATCCAGGTAGGAAGGCTTGTCCTGGATCTGAAAGTATGGAGCTCATAGCCAAAAAGATGCACCCATGTAACGTTAATTGGCCATTGTTGTGCAGCAGACAGGTTCAACAGCAAAACAAGAATGCCAGAGGCAAGAGCTGTTTTGAAATAGGGATATACCCACGCCTGTCCTGTGGGAAAACTCATGCCTGGCCTGATCAGATTCCAGGATGTATTACTTATTTCACTTAGGGAGCTTCAAATAGGGACAGGCAGGGGGGCAGGGCATATGTTAAAAGCCATGCAAGGCAGTCTATTCTGAAAGCTGTAAGTTACTCAAAGCCCTGCAGGGGATTCAGAGCTCTGCACAATTTCACTGCAGCTAAAATACTCAGATGACATGTTTAACAGGGCTGTGTTTTGACAGTTACAGTCCTGGCTGGTCTCACATAAAGCAGGGGTTTGCCAAACTAGTAAGGTGCTTTAGTTACACAGAAAGGAACAAACCCTAACAAGCATGTAGAAGGGCCACAGTTAACCCATTCCATATGAATAGATTTATTAAAAAAACCAATTCAGTTAAGTGTCAGGGTTCTTAATGCTCTGTTTAATTTGTTCTTCACTGGTTAGTCAAAGCTCCCTCCAACTTTCAGATATTTCAAAAATTGTACTAACCTGTTTCTGCCAGATATATTAATGGCATTAATGAAAATTATTTCATTCCTTAAGAACTAGAATGTTCATATGCATTTAACAAGAATTTTAATGTTTCTTATTTCTGTGCCATGCCTGTGGACTGAACACTGCATTATGACTGCAGAAAACTAGTTATTCATTTAGAATATATCAAACACCAGTCAAGTAGTCCAGCTGGTCTTAATTTCTTTTGCAAGTGGTTCAGAAATGCTTCTAACACTCTTTGAGGGATGAAACTGTGCTGCAATATAGGTTAACTTTCAGGTGCTCTGCTTCTGGCTGAATCCCTACTACTGAAGCTAGATGCCAAGGCCTCTTGTGTATCACACAGGAATTACATGCCTAAGACTGGTAGTTATCAATGCTTGCAAGAATCAGACCATGGTTTAGGTCCAAACTTAAGTCTCACTGGCTCAGATTAACCTAGTCCAGTAAGTGTTCTCTAACAGATAGCCAGTAGCAGGTGTTTCAGAAAGATTATGGCAAGCGTAGATATCTCCCTCAGAATTCCCCACTATTCTGTAGCTCTTGAAGCAGTGTATTTATGATGAGAGTTGAAAGGGAAGATCATAGTCAGGACAACTTAAAGCAACATTTGCCATTTCAAACAAAAGAGATGGCAACTTCAGTCCTGTTCAACAACAGGAATTCATACTGGCACTACCCACTGGGAGGACAGTAAGGGGCATCAGTGATTCCATGAGGTAAGTAACTAAGCCTAGGTATAAAGTTTTGACTCTGAACTCTGGTTATCTTAACTATTCATCTAGGCTAACTGCATTTCTTAACTTTGGCTTTTAGCCATAAAACTTTTTGGAGACACTTTCCATCCTTCATCCAGCTATGTTAGGCCATCAACACTAAAGATTTGATTCCACCTTTTGCTTCTTAAACTGAGCAGTCATGCAGAAGTGGCTTAAAAAGAAACCATTTTGCAACTCATTAAGCCTATTCAAGTCTTTCAACCAAAGTCAGTTTTCAAGTAGAAAGGAAAGGCAATGATTCTTTACAGTTCATCCATACCACCAACTCAACAGAACAGGTCTTGCATCTACTTTAAAATACCACATTTCTCTGAAGCTTAAGTCCTTCACCACAAGGGGACCAGTAAAAAAAAATCCACCCAATATTTAATCTTTGCTTTTTAATTACATGTAAAAATACTAGATAAAGTATATTTTGACATTACCCTGAGCAATACACTGGCTAGCTAGCATGTTACTGGAATCACAATGAAGTCACTTTGTAAGTGGTTGGCATACTTTCATACCATTTCTACTGCTTAACCATAGATAAGGGCCCACACTTAAACAAAAAACAAGTCTCACATTAAAAACAGGACTGCAGTCAAGCAAGGGTTAAGATGTACCACTCAGCTTCTTCAAAAAAAAAAAAAAAAAGAAAGTGAAAGAGTTGAAGGCATCTAAAGAAGTTACTTACAGCAGACCAGTGTGGACAGCAGCTAAGACTTCCACCTTCATCAGGTTCCATCTTTCAGGTAAGAGAAGGACATACCATAGGATCACCATTTGAGATTTAAGGGTGATTTGTAGCCATCTTTGACAGCTTAAAGCCATCATCCATGCATTAGATGACAGAAGGCAAATATACTGTACTGAGGTATGTGGAAATTCTTCCATGTTCAGCAAGGCCATCCACTCTGTTCCCAATTAAAAAACTTAAGCAGGAAATTTGGTATCACCACCTGTGCTCTCACCACATTTTAATATGCAAGACAGACAAGTGTTTATGTAGGAGACTGTAGGTTTAGGGGAAAAAGAAAAAAAACAAGATCATTTAGCAACACCTTTCTGTGTACAGAAGTGACTAATATGCTTAACAGGCAGAGCTGTCAGTGGCTGTAGCTATCCTTGTTTGCCAGAACAGATCTGTTTCAATTGATTCAGTTTTCCATACAAGCCAAGTTTCCAAATGAGTGCAAATATTTCTAGACTGGGCATTTAAAACCATGGTAAACAGTAGAACCAATTAGGACATGTCTAATAATTTTTCTTTGCAATCAGAAGAACCCCAAACTGTAACAGGATTTTTCCAATATGAAAATCCTAACCAGTTATCTTAAGTTACCTGGTGGCTTACACAGTACTGCTCAAGCTGTATGCCAGCCCAAGCAGCTTAGGCAGTAGCTGGGGACCCACACAGTTAGCAAACCCCTTTGAATTCCCCACCTTCTTACAAGGAAGTCACACGAGCCATCTCAAAGATGCCAGTTTCATTCTGATAGACTGCTCCTTTAAGGTACTTTCAGTAGAAAAGGTAGAACTTTAAAGCAGTGCTTCAAATGATATGCTACATATCCAAATAAAAGCAGACTTAACATTGCTGTGCAAATTTAGTTCTTCCTCCTGTAAGTTAGGAAACAGGTTCCACAGAAGGTTTACATTAACAAATCATGTTAGTTTAGAATTAACAGGCAAGTACAGCACTTTAACACTACAGTCATCTAAATAGCATGTTGTGGGCAGTGTACTACATTGAGAACTGTTAAAATACTAGGTCAGACATTTTATATAGATTTAACACCTGCCAAAGTAAATTCTGTAACAAAGTAATTTACCATTATGCACGTAACACTGATCCTTAGGCTAACAGACACATTAAAACAATGAATCTGAGGACTGTGAGGAATGTTATAGCTGGTAAGAGTGTGCTACAAAATCCGTAAGGATGCATTGCTGTAGATCTTAATTCAGGACACTGGTGAACAGCTTCAGCAAGAGACCTTATACCAGCCACTTTAAAGCAAGCAGACATTTCAAAGTTTTTTGGTTGCCAGAAGTTTAATCTTGCTTCACTTCGCCCTTTAATTGCCTTTTCATGCGTGAATATGGGCTGATCATGTCATCCATCACAAAGTCATACAGTACTTTTATCCAAGAGTTATATTGTGGCAGGTTGTCATAGTATTCAGCTGCTATCTTCTTCACCTAAAGAGGAGACACAAGGTTTACTTAACTGTTTATATTAGCAACAGTTGTGACAGCTTTACAATCCTCAATCTGTAACTAGTGCTCTGCATCAAGAAGTTTCATTTTAGATGTTAGATTCTACAGGAAAGGCTACTAGTACCACAGCGCAAAAGTTTCTTGAAGGAAAAAGCGACTCCCTGGTTAAGTAAACATCATGTGATTTACACTGAAGCTAACCAGAATGAACTCTGCTAACGCTCTAAAGTCTGTTCACTGTGCTACCTACGGAACGAGGTGGCTCACAAAAGAAAGCAGTTTGGTTGCTAGTGGAAGTGGGTGACTCAGTTCAGTGCTGACTCATAGGAGTATCACTAAAAAGGATGTTGTGAGTTCTGGGAAGAGGTGTTTAACAGCTATTTTTACGTGTAGTGTCACACATCAGCACTCAGAACAAAAAGCCTCTGAGGAACATCTTGTTTCTGAACACAGACATTAAGGAATGACTACAAACTCCTTCCAAAGACTTTATTATCAGGTGTATGTGCTGACTAGACCACTGTTTTAAAAGTAAGAGCTGGAGTCTTCAGATATCCTTACTGCTATTTAAAGCCAACCACCTAAAGCCTTAAAAACCTGAACAGAACAAAACTGATTTTTCACTAAATGCCATAGCTTTAGAGAGAAGAAAAATATTAATCTGCATAAGCAACAAACAAACCCAAGGTATTTGTGCACCTGGCTTGGAGCTGAAGATCATTTTGACACTTCATCACACCTATAGGATAGTGCATCTAACCAGTATACTTTTATTCAACAGTAATTATTCTCAGCTCACCAGTACCCCAGCTGGCGTCAAGTGTTCAGTACTTCAGTGATCTTTAGCACACAGCACAGCAGAGTCCAGTCCAATCAAATTAACTACACTGTTCTAAAAGAAGGCTTTGTTTTCTTATCAGAGCTGCGGATTACGAGTCCTGTGACAGAGCTGGGTATTTACCTCTGCAATTAAATACTTGGAAAAAAAAAATAATTCCCCATTTACAATTTAAGTACTAGTGCAAGGAGTGAAATGCTGGTTCACCAGCGCAGATCTAGGTATCAAAGGTGAATTAAAGCAACTTTAGGTGTATGTGAAAGATGGTATCTATGAGTAAGAGAAATCATCTGTCTTTTTCAAGATCAAAGTCTCAAACCAATTACAGGATGTAACTGCCCTGCTAAAGAAGTGCTGGAGTAGTTATTCCATCTACAGTTCCACCACTGACAACAGAAGTAACAATTGGGGTTAGACTCCACCACAGACACAAGCTTACGAAGTCTTACTATTACCAAGGGCAATAACCAAGCTACAAGACCAACACCACAGCTGCTGTAAAATTGCAAATTTAGCAGCTGATGAAAAACACTTCCCTGAAGATGAGTTTTAGGTGTAACCCTGAAAGCTTGTGTTCCCATGCTCCAACTGGGAAACATGCATACATTGATAATTTAACTCCTGCTTAAAAGAAACCAGCAAGAATTGGAGAGAAACTAGTTTGAAAATCCACATCTGCTACTCATGCAGGTTTAACTATTCATTTTGAATCCTTAATGCTGTCAGTGTACAGCTGATACTTATTTAGGGTTCAAAGTTCTCACTAGAGGAAAGAGCTGCTCCAAAATAGACATCTATTAAACATTTGTCAACAGTACAAACTTAGCAGTACGTCAAAGCATCTCTTTTCCTCACCAATGAATGTCAGTGATAGAAGAGACTGAAGGATAAACATGCATTACTATGTTGTCCTTCAGATTTCAAAGACAGAGCTGACAAATCTCTTAAGGTATCTGCAACTTAACTAGTTTTCTGTACACTTACAAACTGAGGACAACAGAAGGCTGGTTGCAATTACAGAAGATAAACTTGGTGCAAAGCACAAGACATGAGCTTCCTCCCCTCTCCTTTACGGAAGAGGCTTGAACAGCCAGCACATTGGAAGCTTGTTCAGGATACCGCCAAAATGGTCAGTAATTAGAAATTGATCCGGGTTTTGTTTTAGTTTGGGTTTTTTTGGTTGGTCAGGTTTGGGTTTTTTTTTACCTCCCAACTTCCATTTTTGTAACTATCAGTGTTCTACTTGATGAATTTCAAGCTCAAATAGGGCTTATTTTAAGAAACAGTAGTATTGGGAGTAAACTTACCAGTGGAAGGCTCTTGCCAGGAATATTGGGGAAGTCATGATGTTCATTGTGATAGCCAACATTAAAAGTGAGCAAGTTAAGTGGCCCATAGTAGGAGTAAGTCTCATGCCCTTTTAAAAACATGTAATGTTCAGCTATGAAGTGTCCCGAAATTGGGTGCAACCCAAGTCCAAGTACTGAACCAGCAAGCATGTAAAAAGTGGATTTAACTCCCCATAAATAATATATCACAACATCAAAGGAAAGCTGAGCCAACAAGTTGATTATTTCAAGTCGAGTAATGGGTTTGGGATTGATGCAGAGAGGTCTAATTGCATAGAAAAAAGGCTGAAGAACAATCCATATGAACTTCCTAAAACGGGTGCAGAAAAACCAGCCTTCAAAGTTGGTAGGAATGTCCACATCAATTCCGTCACCTCCTAAGTAACGATGATGATCCATGTGGTATCTCTTGAAGGATATGGAGTACGGGAGACCAAGAGGGAGGTTGGCAAATATTCCAAACCATCGATTCCACATTGCTTTGCTGTTGCCAAAGGCACTGTTGTGAGAGATCTCATGAATAGCCAGAGTCATGGAGTGGCTAATACAGCTTCCAAAAACGTATGCCCAGAAAATTACCCATTTCCAGTCCAAGTCTTTAACTAGATAAAATGCAGTCAACTGTGCAAGAACCATTAATACAACCACCCAGATCAAGTTGTAGTCTGGCTTCATCAATGCTTTTATCTCTGGATGTTTAGCTAGATAGGAAAAAATTAAACAGAAAAGGAATTACTTAGTAGCTCTCCTCACAGCTGACTATCCCAACTAGATTACTAAAGTAGATACAGTCATTTCTTCCCTTCCTCCCAATTAGGATTTCTCTGCAAAGGTAACAAAAACACACCACTTTTTCACTTGTGACATTTATTGCTATAGTGAATCCTTTAGAATTAAAACGGTTTTAGCATTTTTCTGTTGCTCAGCAACTAGACACATACACGGCAAGCACCAGTACCACCTCCAGCCTACTCAGGAAGGAAATGGCTTTGAACTGACAACCCACCAGTAATTCAGAAGGGCTCAAGTAAGCTCAGGTCCGATTTAGGTGTCTTCCTCGAAAACGCGGTTATTTACCAGCAATGCTGCCTGCCGCGATGACCTCCACGCACGGCACACGGCCTGTTTATGACGCCCAGCAGACAGACACCTTATCGATCACTCGGCGCCTTTCCGACCGGCACGAAGGGCTCTGCGGAAGCGGGCACCGGCCCCCGCGCCACAGCTGCTCGGCGCTCGCTTCGGAGCTCAAAATGGAAGCCCGGGCCGCCCGCCCCACGTTTTGGGGGTCAGGCTCTGCCCCCGCAG